AAAATAAGTGAACCGCTAAACACCGCCCACTTTTCGATATTTACCGCCCTCAAAAAGTCGAAATTACTCTCATCCATTTCTCTCTCTCTCTCTTCTACTCTCTTTTTTCTCTCTCTCGTTTTTTGAGCTTTCGACGTCCGAAAAAATTCCGAAAAAATGTCGGGACCATCTAAACGCGGCGGCAAGGGGTTTTTCGTTCGATCGGTACGTTATTTTTTTTTAAATTTCGATCGAAAAAAATTTGAAATTTTTTTTTTTTGCTTCGGATGGTGGCCGGCCACCATAATAATAATTAGAAATAAACTTTAATTTTACAAATAATATAATTAAAAAAAATAATTACATGATGGTAACCACTAGCTAGCAAAAAGGCTTGTAAGATTATGATAGTGTTTAATACTTTAATTTGATCCTATGCTCAATTACTAATAAATCAAACAAAATTTATCTGAAATAATATTCTACTAATCCCAATACCATAATTACGTACTAAAATGTCCCCCTAGCTAGCCTACCTCCTAGCACACAATCACGTCATTAATCCTAATTTGTCCCCTTGATAATTAAGTTGACCTTTTTTTTTTTTTAATTATTGACACTTAATTAATCACCTTGCTTAAAATTTTTAAGGAGTTTTATCAATACAAGTCCCGAACTATGGGTAAACTATCAATGCAGAGCCTGGAATATTTCTTTTTTCTCAATTCGAGACTTAAATTTTATAGAACTATCAAATTAAAGACCGGAAAGATGGGTAAACTATCAATGGGGGCCTGAAAGATTTTTTTTTTCTCAGTTCGAGACTTAAATATTATAAAACTATCAAATTAAGTCTAGAATTAACAACACCATTAAATTTAGAGTTTAAAAAAAGATTGGTGTTTAAATTTAGAGTTTAAAAAAAAATATATAATATTTAATTATTATATTATATTTTCATATTCATTCACATTATTAAACTATCAATGCATATGAATGAAATTTCAATAAGCATAATAGTCAATTTAAATATAAAAATCATATTAATTATTTACTTAATATAATTACTTGCTTTATTCTTTTTAACAACAAACACAGATATTTATGAGGACAATAATATTATAAACACTCAAGAGTACGACTGGTTTATAAATTATGTAAAAATGTTTGAATGAAAAAGTGAGTTAAAGAGTAGAAAAAATTGATGGAAGAATGCAAACTTTTTAAAAATGTGAATGAATATGATATAAAAAGTAATAATTATATATTATATTTTTTTTAGAACTCTAAATTTAAACACCAATCTTTTTTTTTTTTAAAAAAAAAAAACTCTAAATTTAATGGTGTTATGAGTTTTGTTAATTTTAGACTTAATTTGATAGTTTTATAACATTTAAGTCTCGAATTGAGAAAAAAAATATTTCAGGCCTCGCATTGATAGTTAGTTTACCCATCTTTCGGGTCTTTAATTTGATAGTTTTTATAACATTTAAGTCCTTAATTGAGAAAAAAGTATTTCAGGCCCCGCATTGATAATTTACTTATCTTTCGAGACTTGTATTGATAAAACTCCAATTTTTAATTGTGGATCTTGGTAATCACTGGCCTGGTTGTCTCATAAATAAGGGTCTCATATCTTTATAACTTGTATCTGCAAGTTTTTTGCAAGCAAGGTCTCATTCTGTATTATCCCGGACATTGTATTATTTTCGAGTTTTTAATATATTCTTCGTTTCAGTTAAAAAAAAAAAAATATATATATATCTTTATAATATTAGGCAACTTTATAGTAGTGCGTTCATATGTGGCTCATATCATCAAAAATGCTTTTGTCTTTTGTGCAGTTAAATTTACCAGTTTTAATTAGAAGTCAAGTTTGTGAATGTTCACATGTATGTGTATGTTGTTAGAATATCACTTGTGAGTTGTCCCACATCGTTTATATATGAAAAATAGACCTACCGTATAAATTTAATGGATTACTTCTCCTTTTACTAATTGATTTTGAGATAGAACCCCACTTAGACTTTATATGGGCTTTCCCTGTTATGGTGCGATTCACGTGCGTGAGACCGCACCCGTTTTCCTCTCGTTTTCTTACATGGTATCAGAGCCGTTTCTATATAAGACCGTGCAATGACGTACCGTTTTTCCCCACATACCCGTTTATGGGAGCCTGTTTCTAGAAGGGCTTGGACCCACATACCCGTTAATGGGAGCATATAGGGCTTGGGCCCACGTGCCCGTTTATGGGAGTCTGTTTTTAGTAGGGCTTGGGGCACCCAACTCTGTATATGAGCTTGAGTTTCTTATTAAGAACTCACAAGTGAGGGGACGTGTTAAAATATCACTTGTGAGTTGTCTTACATCGTTTATACATGGAAAATAGACCCACCTTATAAGTCTAATGGGATATTCCTCCTTCCACTAATTGGTTTTGGGAAGCAACCCTACTTGGCTTCATCTAGGCTTTTCATGTTATGGTGCTCTTCACGTGCATGGGACCGCGCCCGTTTTCCCCCCGTTTCTTACATGACATCAAATATTATTGTAAGGGAACAAATATAATATAATTTTCAATAATATTTTGCTTCCATAAATTATCAACTTTTAATTTAGTCCCAAAACGTTGATTACCAAACAAGGCTGTGGCAAGTAAACGCTGATTACCAAACAAGGCTGAGGTTCAAGTTTTTACACTTAATTCGAGTGTGAAAAGATAGAAATATATCAAAAAAATGAAATAATTTTATAATTTAAAAGTAAGTTAACAATATGATGAAGATGTGACTTTAATTGTTCCATATATGATACAACATCAAGAAGACAATGAAGCTTTACTAATGTGTTAGTGGGTATCCCACTTAAACCAATATCCAATTAATTTAATGGCATCATATATAACTATGCAAAATCCACATTTCATGGTTCATTTTCAACTAGAAGAAGATTGATTGGCCTCATGATTATCATGTAATAATACACCTTTGGGCAAAAGCTCCTCATAAAATGGCTTTTATAACGCACACTTTGGTGCAAGTACAGTACAAGTCTTTTTTCTGAGAATTTTTTCGTGCATGCACCAATTTATCTCTGTTTAAATGATATAATACTTAATTTATTTCCTATACACTCATATCTTTGTTTGATATATATATATATAATAATTAATACATACATTTCTATAACATTCATGACACATGCACAATACTTTTCTTCTTAATTATGATATAATTGACATCTGTATAGATATACTTTGTAAAAGAAGTAAAAAGTGCTTATAGTCATTATATTATTATAATGACAATCAACATATCACTAATATTTAAGTTTACCGTATATTGCGGAAATTTCAACCTACTGACTACACCGGTTTTTTTTTTTATACCATTGGATAACACATACACATGCATACTCATATAGCTGTGTTAATCTAACGGTAAAAAATTCAATAATTGTGAACAATCACCAAAAATTTCAACATATTGATTGCATTGGGTTTTTTATACCGTTGGATCACACATACACATGCATACCCACAAGGGTGTGTGTTGATTCAACAATAAAATATTCAATAACCGAAATTTTTACCTACTGACTTGCACCGGGTTTTTTATACCGTTGGACCACACATACACATGCATATCCACACATGTGTGTGTTGATCCAACTGAAAAAATTCAATAAAATCATCGAAAATTTCAACCTACTAATTGCACTGAGATTTTTATACCGTTTGATCACACAAATAAACATGTATACCCAAGGTATGTGTTATTGAACATGTCTTTTTTATTTGCAAAAGAGCAAAGATGGTCTGGAAATATGCACCAATTAGCTGGGATGGAATTGAAGCGGACTCTAGCAGGTTCAGGAGATGGTGGAGCCAAGTGTGTTCTATAGATAAATCCATGGTTTCCGAAGCCGAATTCAATTAACAACCTATATATTACGGTGGCTTTGGAATCAAGGAATTTGTGGCAAGTTGAAAATGTTTGGCACCCTGAAATGCTCACAGTACAAGCAGCTACAAGAGATTGGAAGGAGGTTGTGGATCTGCGAGATCGAGTTTTAAGAGGAAGCCAAGTCCCCAATTAGGTCTGTTTTTTCACAGTTCAGTTTCTAGGGCATGTTTCTCTCTTGTGATTTGTTAGATGATTTCTCGTGTTAGCTATTGTTTTCGTTGATTATTCTACTGCATTAGCTTTCGTTGTTAGGTGTTTTATGTCTAGGCCACTCCGGTGTTTGATGTGGTTCTCTCTGGCCTCGGCCCTCGGGTTTTAGGTTCTAATTTTTCGATTCGGGTGATGCCCGTAATTTCTGTAATTGTTCGTGTAGCTGAACCTTGTAATGTTTTCTTTAGTTTCTATGAGCAAATCTATCGTTGAAAAAAAAAAAAAATGGTAATATATTCATGTTGCGACTCACCGTATATAGCATATCAACCATAAGTTACCTAAAACTTCTTAAATATTCCTTGCCTCCAAACGTCAAGTAACATGATAAAGTGTGTAAGAATTTATGGTTGCCATTCTCTTTTTCTTTTTGGTGAATGAAATAGAAAAGGTTGTTGAATCAAAAAACACGAATTGACATCTGAAAAGATAAGATAGGCTTAGGCAACTTAGGCTAGGCCCGTTAGTGCTCAAGGGCCACGCCTATCGTGACCACTAAGCCCAGCAGCACGTTACGTCACTCACAGCCCAACTAGGGGTCTGCACAAATTGCACCTCATGTTGCCACGTGGATATCCCCTGGAAACATATCTTCACAACTTTTTTGAACCTTTAAGGCATGAAAAGACAGTGAAACATTCCTGTTAAGTCTTCTTATTGCCCAAAAAATGTCCAATCACAAGTGTGAAATACCATGAAAGTACATGCATATATCACACTTGCTAATAAGAAGGACAAAAATCCAATGATAAAAATCCTGGTGAGGGCTGGTAAGATCGAAATCGAATTTTATTGTATGCAGTTTTACTTGCTCACATTAAACTGTTTGGACAACCTCCCGGAAGCCTATGATGCCCCAACAGATGCCGAAGATTGTAGTTTCTTAGGTGGAGGATTACCACCCGACAACACCACATACGAATAGAAGCAGAACATTGCAGCACTGTTGCATATTAAACAAAAACAAATATCCACTGATAGGTATGGAATGAAAATGAAAAATTGTCTCCCCGTTGAAAAAAAACGATGGTAAAATGTAAGGATCGCATTATAGTACCTGATGGCAATACTAAAGCCAGTCGGGAAGAGCTTTTTCGTCTGCAACAACGTGCAATTTTTCCCGATTAATTGAGGAATACAGAAGCCAGCAGGTGAAATAAAATAATTTTAGAATTGTTTCTTTTATGTACCAATGAGTAGGCTTGGAAATTCTTCTGGAGGAGGGCAATAGCGAGTACTGCATAGTCAAAAAGGGGGAAAGTTATTTTGCTTGAATTGTTGATTACCAAAGACTAGTTCCTGTAGAGATTATTCTGTGTCCTACAAATATTCAACCGTTCACACAATTGGCATCCGTCTATAAATTTGAAAATTTTCTAGTTTCTAAATCCAATTATTTTGAAATATGATAACAGTTGGTTTAATTACATAAGAAAATATTACAACAGTTACTTTAAGAGTGTGTTTGGTAAGAACTATAAGCTTGTTTATGGCTTATTTGGTTGGCTTAATAGTTTTTTGTATTAAATAAGACGAGCTTTTTTAAAAAGCTCTAGCTTATCTCATAAGCTTCTTTTTGGGTAGCATTTCAAATAAGGCCATTAAATTTTTTAGTTCAATTGATTTTCAGCTAATTTTATCCAACACTTTTAGTATATCAGCTAGCTTAGCTTTACATTCATAAGCCATATAAGCCATAAGTTATCAACTATAAACTCGAAATTCACTTATCAGCTATCAACTAATCAGCTAGGTTTCCCAAACATTAGCGTAAGACTTGGAAGTTGCTTGTTCTATTATTTGTTTTACAAGACACCACGAGTAGTTCGTACTTTCAGTTAGACACAATCGGAACACATTAACCATACAACTATGTTCAGAAAAAATAACAGTTACGGATTTTTTGAAAAACATTTCACTTGGCATCATCACAACATTTCTTAAAACAGGAAAAAAAAAAAAAATGAAAAGTATCACCTGCTTGGCCCAGTATAAATGGTAAGCTCGATTTTCCTTGTCTCCAGACCTTCAAACTAATAGTGCTAAGCGCCAGCAAGGCTCCTCCGTAGAGCACACCAGTTCTTAAAGAAACAGGGTTTCTTGTAAAAATAAAGCCAAGTAGTCCACCGCTTAGCACAATCCCACCTACGATAGAAATAATATAATTTGGTTAACCGAGTTTTTTTTCCTTACGATGATTCATGCCTTGCTCGTGTCGTAAGAATGTCGTATGCAAATTAATTCACTTTTTTTTGGTATAGAATAAATGGGCGAAAGCCCGATGCAGCAACTTGCCAGGGGTTGTGCTTTGCTACTTGCTGAGGTTACGGGGATGCGCATCCAAAAGGCGCGATGAATTCCTCTTGGCAATTACATTCATCATGGCATAGCAAGGAGAGAGATCAAAGTCATGGCCAATAAATTGCTACGAACATGCCGCTTCTAGACATCGTTATGATATCGTACCCACGAAGTCTTCACTATCGAAATCAAGCGCCTTCAAATGATATTTTCATCTTTATTTGCTTTTTCTTTTCTACTTTGGGATCGGGTTTGCCATTATATGATTTAAGGGCAATGGAATCTAGAAAGTTGCCTTTTCTTTACATGAACACGACCAAAAACAGAACCAATTTATTCCAGACTGAAAATCTAAGAGATACATTTGAACCAATTAGAAGCCAATGTGAATTCTTGAATGCATCTAGGAAAGATGTGCCGATCGGAAATGGAGAAAGTAAAAATACTCTCATTCCCCAGATAAGGGGAAAAAGATCCAAGTACAAAACACTCACCAAAGGGGATTCCAAAACAAAAATCGTGAATCTTAGCTGCCCTTTTCGGCAGGCTGATGACTTGCTCCTGTGCATGACCGTTTGATGCTCCAATCACAGAACCTTCCGTAAGAGGCCGTGATTTTACAACAGTTCCATTATGCGACTTTAATTCATCTTTCACTGAACTTGGGCCGGCCTTGCTCTCCAAGTTGGATATATCAGGACTGCTTCCATCATTACTCATAACGTTAAGCACCTGAATATAAATTTTCATCAACAAATAGCACAAAGTTTATCAGTTACGTAGCTGCTGCCAAATTTTAGATTTCAGACACCATATGATAACACATAGTGCCACTTAATAACACGTATCAATTTTAAGGATGCATCGGAAAATATTTCAAAACTAACCAAGTACCTTAATTGTCGATTTGGAATGGCTTGTACGAAATGAACAAAGATTAACTCATTAACTGAACTTGAATCCAAGAGCAAGCGAGAAATTAGGAATTAAGTTTGTGGTATTAACTTCATAATTTTAGTATTGGGATCACACTTAGTACTTTAACCAGCATTGGACACCGTTGATTGATGGTAAATTCAGCAAGAAGAAGTTGCTGTATTGGGCTATCGGCACAGCAAATGCTCAATGCTCAATATTACTTGAATCATTTCCAGGACAACTATGTGAAGCAGACACAATTTGTTAAAAAGCAATAGTTCCATTTTTTTTTTAATCTAATTAACTGTTGATTTAAATTTTATCATAAATTTTCTCAGCTTAAGCCCATCACCTTACAACTTTATAGTGTCCCATGGTAGCTAAAATCTAAATCAAGACACATAAAAATCAAGTCTTGGGATCTTATATTCACAATTCAAACAATTTGGGGAAAAAATAAAAAAATGCAATCGCAATATCGACAAGGATTCAATTCGCTACATACGACCGATTTACTAAATGAGTTTCGATCTCATTAGCTGGTTTGCTTAAAATCAGAGCTCACATAACTGCAACATCCAAATCTGTGGGTCACTGTAAATTCACATTCGGGTCCTTCCACCTACAAGCTCGATTTTTCTTTAACTACGGGTCACGAGCGAAATCAAGCAAACAAAACCCTAACAACACAACAATTACACGATCTAACAGTCTCGTGGCTTCAGAAAGATACAATTTTTTATCTAAGGAGACAGATAATAATGAAAGAACCAATTCGATGTTACCTTTCCCGGCCGGAAACTGTCGGGGCGCGAGAAAGATATAGGCCGGTGCTGCAGCCGCCGGTTGCTGATTATGGAGGAGAAACATGACATCTGAGCAATCGCCGACGGCATTGTTGCTATTTTGCTGATGATTGACTGAAACTGATGTTTTTTTCCTTTATAATTGCACTGTTGGCGAATTCAAGAAGAAAGTGTTGACGTCGACAGCGGATCAATGTTGAAGAAGAAGAAGAAGAAGAAGAAGACAAATTGCAAAATGCGTTAATTCAAGTGTTCAGTACTCGCAGGCTCGCAGCCGTCAACCCAAAGTTATGATACATTTTAATTAAGGGAAAATTGTTCTTAAGCTCTCAAAGTATACTATTTTTTTAGTTTGCCATACAAACTTTATTTTTTGACAATTTGCCTCTTAATGTAATCGAAACTGATAATTTGCCTCTTTAATTAAAAACCCTAATATGACACAAAAGAGTTTTTGACTCAATTAATGATAAATTTTAAATTAATCTTTAAAATTGATTTAGGGTTTTTAAAGTTCATGACGAGACGAACAAAATGAGGTATGATTTGTCGAATTCTGAAAACCGACACCTCTATAATCGATCCACGAAAATAGTAGGAGCACGTGTGCATAGAAAAAATTTCAATTCAAATTTTCTAATAATCGACGTATCCGATTTTCGATTAGGAGGTGTCATTTGAAAGCTTGTAGGACCAATTTTTTAAAACGTAGATCTTATGAAAATTCAACGGCCGGATTTTGATCAGTTTTAGAAAATTACTGATCAATAGTTAGCTTTTTTTAGGCTACTAACCGAAATCCGACCGTGGGATTTTTATAAGATTTATTTGATATAAAATTCGTCCTCCAAGCTTTCAAATGACACCTCTCAATCGAAAATCGGATATATTGGTTATCAGAAAACATGAATTGAATTTTTTTCTATACACACGTGCTCCTACTATCTTCATGGATCGATTAAAGATGTATAAATTTTCAGAAATCGACAAACCATACCTTATTTTGTTCGTCTCGACATGGGCTTTAAAAGCCCTAAATCTATTTTAAAGATTAATTTAAATTTATCATTAATTGAGCTAAAAACTCTTTTGTGCCATATTAGGTTTTTTTCATGGAGGAGGTAAATTGTCAGTTTCGATTACATTGGGAGGCAAATTGTCATAAAATAAAGTTTGTATGGAAAACTCAAAAAATGGCATACTTTGGGAGGTTAAAAAAAAATATTCCCTTTAATTAATTATTTCAAAGTAACACAAATTTAGGGGTGGTGGCAATGTGTGGTAACTTCAACCATTCGAGGATTCGAGGAGTTGGATCGAGTTGACTTTCACGAACCGAACATTTTGTAGCCGTTAGCATAGAGCTTTGGTAATTTCAACCATCCTTCATCACTTTTTGAGTATGCTAAACGAGTTGAGCTTTCAAGAGCTTATCTGACTCGAGCTCGACCCAAAATTTTGGCTCGTTTATTAAACAAAATTTTGGCTCAAACATGAAGTGCTCGTCTTGACTTAAATAACACGCCTAACCGGCGTTGATGTCTAAAATGTGACCAACAATGTGTTTGAACTGTACACTGAGACGTGTACTTGGTTCGGTCTGCACGATACAGGGAATTATACAGTAATCGATTCTAGAATGGACCGAATGGGAACTCTATTCGTGACTTATATGGTATTTAATGAGAGCATTTACTCATTGCATTTAATGTTGTCTCTTCTTCATTATATAGAAATTTTAAGGACTTACTACACTTCTCTTTTGGGGGTTTTTTATATTTTTTTTACAAGATATTCTTAGATATTATTCATTCAGAA